GGTTATCAGAAAAATCAATTTTCCGAACAACCCCAGTCTCAATTGATTCGGATAATTGACGCTCTACTGTACTCCCCATAAATTATCTCAACTTACACAGATTAACATTGGCTTTGTGTGAAATTTGAGAGAAAGGTGTTATTTTTAAGGTCAGATAGATGTTCAAAGTAGCCCACACTGACTAACTACTAATGTCAATAAGTCATTAATGGTTTTATTGTCTTGTAAACAAAAACACTCTTTCTGATTTTAAGTCAGTCAAATTACAATGTTATTATTTTACTGTACTCAAAAAAATGTTTTCTTTAGTGTTTCATTAACAACTAATTGTTAGATCTGATTAATTTTATATTTTAGTTAGTTTAATCAGCATGCTGCCTCCCCCTTTTATATGTGACATGCCTGTCAATTTGTGAAAATATGCTAAGATAATCAAAATTAGCCTGGGTTTATTTTCCATGGAATGATAGATTTACATTATACTTTAACTGTATTTTAAAATCTCTTATAAATTTTTAAAAATTTTACAATGTTAATGGTTTGGTCAAGTCTAATGCCAAGAAGTCTATCAACTAATTCATAATATTACATGTAGAATCTATAATGATATTCATTATATTATATTAATTAATATATTTTTAAGTGTAATAATTTTTTTCTCTAATGATTTTCTGTTATAAAACTTCAGATCCAGTCATAAATTTAGAAGTTTTATAATACCACAAAATATTAATATCTTTTGCTCTAATTCTATTTCACTTTCACTCACTAATGGCAAAGTGGATAAAAACCACAACTACAGATAGCTGATCTTAGGTTCATGTAAGACTATGAGCTGACCACATGAAGTTTTCTGTTTTCTTCATGTGTCTAACACACCTAAATAGGAAACAGTTTCCCATCAAAATTCCTTCCAGAAGGCACACTTCCTTGGCAGATTACCTATACGTTGCATTTCCTTATTCCATCACCCACTTTCATTTTATTTTCTCAACTTCTCACAATTAATGCATTTCTCTTATGAAGTTATAACAATGGCATATAAATGACTGTTTTAGTATATGAAGAACAGCACTAAAGAGGATAAATATAACTATTTGAAATGCATACTTCAAGTTAAAATAAAGTTCCAATCTGTCATTTAGCTCATCCTCTTTAATCTTAATGTTTTTATGTTGTTTTTGAGTGTATATAGTTCTATAAACCTAGACTGTGATATAAAAAAAGTCAATTAATACTAGACAGTAAATTTAATTCACAGTATAGAAATAAGTATCATCTCTGAAAAAAATGTCTATATTTCATGCAGATTTATGCAAAAAATGTAAAAATATATAGATAAAATTTTGTCTCTTATATAATATTGACAAATTGCTAAATTTGTGTTATCCCTTTAAGAGAATGCAATCAAAAAGATTTATAAGTTCAAGAGCAATCTTTCACAAGTTAGGGCTCACTTTCTGCACTGCTACATGATTTGCAAAAACCAGAATAATATCTGAAAATAGTGTTTAAATTTAATGCTTCACTCTTTATAGAAGACAATTTTATTCAATGTATAAAATGCTTTTTGAGCCATATCAGTTCATTGTCAGCTACCTTTCAAATTCCATAGAATTGAACAACTAAGCTAAACTTTCATACAATCAAAATATTAATTCAAAACTTTGTTTTAAGATATACAAATTAACAAAATATAAGGTTTCTTTCATAAACAATTCAGAGGAACTTTTTTAAAAGATTAAAATAAATTTTTGGTATATCTGGCCAAACTAGAGAGTTCAAAGAAAAATTTGCAGTAAAACATTTTGTAGAAAAATTAGGAAATTGGAAAAAATCAAGCATTTTCCAGTAATTGGAATAAGAATCAAGAAAGTCTGGTTATGATTTCCAATTCTTAAAATAATTTTTTCACATTTAATACAAAAATTAATTTGTTTCAGTTGAAGATTAAACATTTTTTAAATTGCAATATTGACAATTAAGTATTAGTTTATTGAAAACTTTCATGTTGAAAAATCAGAGTATGCGACAATCTATTCCTGTATGTTTATCGTGGCAGACTTTTCTTTCATATGGTCGACATGAGAGATTGTGCTTGGTCAATACAATACTAACTCTCACCATTTTAGACAAGATAGGGTGGCATGATAGGATAGTTCTTCAAGTAAAAGAGAATTAGTTGTAATTTCTTTGAGGGTAGTGTTGTAATATTAACATTATCTAAAATAAGATTACAAATATATTTTGTAGTATACAATAAAAGCATGCTTATCCACATATAAATGGAGAATTTTCAGGTTTCTTTCAAAATATTGATTCTGGATTTCCAATAATTTTCCATTTTTAAGCTTGATGTTTATTAATTAATGAACGTATCATACTCATAATGTAAATCATTAATTTTTCTAAACTAAATTAAACTTTAGAAAGTATTCAAAATAATCAGAATTGAGAGAAATTTAGAGTTAAGGTAGTGATTATTATTTTTAACTGTTTCTGCCCTGTGGGCACTAAGAGAGACTTTTCATCAAACTTATTATGGGTTAACCCAGATCCACAATTGGGCAGTCAGATGGTGAGGGACAGGGCCAACTCAGGCATAGCCAACATACGGCCCGTCTAATGAATTTATGCAGCCTGCGATTAATCTTTCAATATTAGCTACTCAAGTCCGAATAGCTCAATGAAAAGTTCTGATGCCTAAAAAGAAAAAGGTCAACAACTCACTGTGCGTTTAGAGTTAACTCTCCATTACAAATCTCTTAAGTACAGTGTAGAATGTTGATAAAGCATGATAATGTGAAAAATGTATCTGTAATTGCTATGTACAACTTAGTCTGTACGGGGTGATACCACAATGAGATCTCACACCACCTCAAAATCTTCCTGGGGCAGCCTCTGGTTCGGCCGATGAAAAAAGTTTTCTTTCCAATTCGGCCCGGGGGCAAAAACTGTTGGCCACCCCTGGTCCAACCTATTCAGACAGACCCTCCCTCAGTAATTCCTGGGGTTTATCAACTAATCCTGATTCAATCCCAAGTTCTAGAATGGTAGGCTGCCATCTTAATTGCTCAGCCATCCAGCCTAAAGGTAGCAATTTTCAACCAGTGTGCCATGGCAAACTAGAGCATTACAAAGTAGTGATGAGCAACACCATTTAACATGTATTATTAAAATTTATTGTACATTCAAACACAATTAAAACTATAAATTATTTAATAAGTTTGTAATCAGCTTATTAAAAATACTATATACAATTTAAACTGTACATGCATATTTATAGTACATATTAAAGCATATAAAAAGTAAGATTACCACTATTAAGAAAACATTAAAAAACGCTGGGTTAAGGTGTCAGCCTACTGCTCTGGGAAATCCAGGAACAAACCTAATCAAGTAAAAATACCTCATGAATCTTTTAGTAGTGTTCCTCCTCACTACCAGGCTACTTTACCATAAGCTCAGTCAAACCCACAATAGGTTCAATAAAAGGCTCTCTCAGCATCTACAAGGTGGAAATAATCAGCAAAACAGGAGGAACAAAAATAGGCCCTTAGTCTTCCTTGGATTTGCTTTTAAAGGGATAATTTATAACTACAAAACACAATAATGCCCCAACAGAGATAAAATCCAGTAAGATTGCAGATGTGAACAATACTGTTGAAACCCAAACAATGCTATAGAGCAGGGCTGTCCAACTGGCGGCCCGCGGGCCGTATACGGCCCGCGGGCCGCCAGTTGTAGACAACACCCTTAGACACTGAAGCCGTAAGCCTGAAGAGGAATTGGAAAATTACCAGTGGCGTGCCGTCATTGGAAGCGGTGGAAGCGCCGCTTTCCTTGTACAGTATTTTCTAAAATAAATAAATATACAGTATATTGCGCGATTATTTTCATATTTTAACGTACTTTGGATTAATTAAAATTAATATTTTATTATAACCGCATTATGTATCTTATTGCAAATTTCTTTACTACATATGAAAAAAAACGATAAGATTGCTATCAGGGCCTAATTTAGACCTTCGCGGGCCTAGGAAAAATAATATTTACGGGCCCCTTTACAAATTTTGTATTACTACATATATAAATAAAATTGTAATATTTAAAATTAAAGTATTTTTATTTCAAAACAATTACAAACATAAAATAATCAATATATTAATACAAAAAATAATGATTCATGCATAAAAAAGTAGAAAAAATAAAGCATTCAATTCTTTCTGATTTTCTATTTTGTCAAAATATCCATCAAAGAATCTTTAAAAAATCATATAATTTTTTTTCTGATTTTCGATTCTGCAAAAATATTAATCAAAGAGTCATAATTTAATTTTTGTGCTAACTCGGATTCGATATTTAGTATTCGATTAGTTGAGAAATTCGATAAAAGAAGAAAAATTATCTGCTCTATCAGAGCAGATAATTTTTCTTCTTTTATCGAATTTCTCAACTAATTTTAACTCTTTTTAATGTAGAGAAAGATCTTTCACCATTAGCATTACTTATCGGCATCGTAAGATATATTTTTACTTGTTAGAAAAATTTGCTTATTGGAAAAGGTTGATATTATATTATTATTTATAATAAAATATAACATTTCTTGGGNTTTAGTTTGCGTAACTTCACTTAACCTGGCTGAATACAGCAGCAACCTTCTTGGCCCCCGAAATGTTTGGTGAAGAAAATATGGCCCGCGTGCTATGATAAGTTGGACAGCGCTGCTATAGAGCATGCCTATAGGAGCAAAAAACTTCAAAAGGAACCATACCTCTAAGCATGACCCTTTGCGAAATACAGCAATACAGCCCCCCAAAATCAGCCTAAAGCTTACTTCCAGGTGCTATAGGGAGTCACACTGTGCTCCACTGTGTTATATGTTTAACAGTCAGTACAACACAGTGATCAGACATTCTATTGATATTTATTGGTAAAGAATAAAGAAAAGTCCAACACCCAACCCTTTGCAAGATAATTGCCTCCAAATGTAGAACCCAATGATAGCAGTTCCAGTCACCAACTTGCTTGCAAATGTCATGCTTTCAAGCAAGTTATGTTATACACACAGTAATCAATGCCTGTAACAAATAATAAATGCATTAACTTATACTGACCAAAAACAGTTTTTATCTCAAATCAGTACTACTGTTTATTGTCCATGTTCCACATTGGTCAAGGCAAGTGATAGCAAGCATTGACCGACACTGACAGTCATGCACTGAAGTGCAAGCAAACACCAAACACCAAATCTGCTCAGGGACAAGCTCCCACACTCCATAAAACTATATAACATCAAGTACTCTGCAAACTGTCAAGTGAGCTAAATAGTTAAATGCAACAGTCTTAGCAGAGCATAGTGCAACTCACAATCAAGTGCAGCCAATTTTAGAGCTATATCTCGTGAAGGGTCACATTTAGAAGCATTGTTCCTTTAAATTTGTTTGCTCCTATGGACATGCTCTATAGCTCTGTTAAGGTCCAACAGAGTCATTCACATCAGCAATTATACCTAAAATCCTGCTAATATACAGAAACACATATCAACATTTTAGCAGAAAAAATTTATTTAACCTTACCTTTTATTTATATTATGTAGTTTCATATATTACACAAAGAAATTTTAATTTCAAACATGGAACTGAAATTAAAAGAAAATGTTAATCTTTCAAACCGCACGAAAATTTTAAAATGCTCAACAGAAAAAAAAAAGAGACAATATTTAAATCAATTGTATATCAACTGTAGAAAATGAGGAATAAAAAAGCTGGAAATAATGTAAATTTAAGTTTTCGTCATTAGTTTGTCTGTTTAACTTGTATTGTTCCTCGAAGTCGGAAGAAGTCAGTGTATTTTTTACTTGTTTTTAAAACTAGGAATATTCTTTATTTTTAGTATTTAT